CCTAAATTGAGGTGAGGATGAACGTCAGTATTTGAACTGAAAAAAAGGATGTGAACTAGGCAAGCAAAATGGGGAGTGCTGGGTAGAAGCTCAGGCAGTGTGGGAATGGGAGTGGGGGTGAGAAACATATACAAGGATTAATGGGAAGAAGAGCTGTTCAAGTCTTTCTGGGAACGGCAACTCGCAAGCGAAAATTAGGCTGAAGTTGGCTCTGAAGATTCCCAGAGAAGATAAGCAAAATGGGAGCTGGGTCATGGCTGGCATAATGGTTGGTACTGTTCCCAGAGGGGCACTGAGTAATGACAACAAGACTTTTGCTGCCAATGGCTGCCTTTTAACAAGACAGTTTGAGTATTCCCTTGACAGTCTAATGTCAGATGTATCTGGCCCAGCACCCTTGTAAATAACCTGGACTAAGAAGGGAAGAGCTTGGATAGGAGTGGGATGGGGGTGGAAGTTCCTGAGGTCTTTAAAGCAGCAGTAGTCCAAGTCAAGTTCAAGTATGGGGAGGAACTGTCGCAGGCAGCACACCTCCTCCTAGGTCAAGGACTCTTCATGGAAACCTACTGAGAATGGAAACCCTTGTACATTTGATACCCGTCGGCATGAAACATTAATTAGGGCCCCAATAATTAGCATCACCCCTCTTCCTGATCATATATACATTAGACTACTCAAGTTTTGATTGAGTGGATTGAATATAAGGTTTAAGACTAAGCTAGCTTAGTTAATGGACTGGGTGATGTGTTTCTGGGTCTACTCTTCAATAGTTAATGAAGTTAATGGATAGGGTGATGTGCTTCTGTGTTTATTCTTTGGGGCCTATCCTTTCAGTCTATGAGATATTACAAGTTCTACTGCCAATGCTGAGGTTCCGCTCTGGCAAGGATTGTTCTAAATAGTATATTTTCTAAGAATCTAGTTGAGGAAGGCATAGGCTCCTGGGATGTATCCTGCAAAGTTTGGAGGAGGTTAGGTATACAAAGGTTTATAGGACAATGAACCCGGGGCTTCAAGGATGACAAGTTTATATATATGAACTCCTTAAGGATAGGGGCTAAGAGCCAAACTCCTCAATGACTGTCATCCTCATTGATAAACAAGACAGACTCACATACAATGTATGGGAAGAGCACAAAGGAGAGAGGGGTGACCTCTACCAACCTCAGCCCAGTCCTCAAGGGAGGAAGTAGGAGAGGATTTTATGTTCTGAGGCACGCATCAGCCAATCTTGATGAAGTAGACAGTTCAGAAAATGCCCCCTTGGTATTAAAGTGCCCCATATGAAGAGCTGCTGAACAAATACATCCAGTATTTTCTTTTGGTCTAAGCTTTGGCTGCAGAACCAAGAGTACTCACAAATCATATGCTCTATTATTCCAAATTGTGAGACAACCCCAGAGGTAGATTCCCAGTGGGGACTGGAAAGCACCTCAGTGAAAGCACAGCCCATGTGGGTGGTCACCCTGGGATGGGGGCTTGCAGAAATGGCCTTAGTTGTAGGAGACAGCATGTCTCCCTGGTGGCATATGTCACTTGGGTTCTTCTCACAACAAGACAAAAACCAAAGTCCTTCTTGAAAACCACTCAGGAATCTGGAGAAGGCAGAACAGAGCTGGCTTCAGAATGGCGAGCCCAGCATTCTAAGAACCCTAACAAGAAGGGGCATGGTGGGCTAGGAGAGTGAGCCACTGGCCTTGGACACAACATTGAATGGCGCACTAAAAACATCAGTAATCAAAATAAATATGTTGACGTCACATTTATAAAAACCTCAGGATTAATGCAAAAAATAATCCAAGACGAACACGTTATCAAAACTGTAATGAAGGCAAGATCCGGCCTTGGGCTGGCATGACTTGGCTCTGCTCATTCCACCCTGGTTCTGGCCCTGAAAACCTGATGGGGGAGATAGAAAGCCAGGCGTCTCAGCCATGACACCCAGAGCAGTCGGGACCTTAGAACGGGGTGAAACGACCTCTTCACAGCTTTAATAGATCCCAGAATTTGGGGAATTCATTGGCAAAAATAGCAGGCATGGCTTTCTGGTCTAGAAGCCAGAAGAGGGATTGAGTGTTCCAAGGGAGGCTCCGAAGCAAAACACTGCAGGAGTATATGAGCCGGTCAGAGCACCCCAAAAGGGCAGTGATTGCAAACAAAATGGGTCTTAGCAGCCCAAAGAGACTGAGCCCTTTTCCTCTCAACAAATGGAAAGAAAATGGTCAGACAGATCAAGGAATCATCACAACCAAGCCACGAAAGGACAGCGGGACAGGAGTGGTCAATCAATGGGCAAGTATTTAAACACCTCACAGGTCGAGGTACTTCTGTGTGGGCTTATGCTAGGTGCTCGCTGCCAGGAAAGGCTGGTGATAGCCTCACAAGACACACAGTTCAGCCCCCAAACATTGCAATGAAAACCACAGCAGCCCTGAAAACAGGGTAAATCACTAGATTATTTTAGTTCTATCAGTTGAGTCCCCAAAACACTAGGGAAAATTAGGGAAGGGCAGGAGGTGAGAGGGTAGAGTAAAAGAATCTCACAGAGCAGAAGGCATTTCATGTTATTAGATGCTAAGTGTTCTTGATTATTACCTGCCCGGCTTTACCATTTGGTTGAGACACCACCAGTGGTAAATAACAGAGTCGCCACTGTAAGTGGCAACCTGATTTGGTCAGAGATACTTTACCAAGTCAGCCACTACGAGGGAACGGCCCGGTTGCCTTTGGCTTGCAAAACAAAGAGGGCGGGCTCTCTCTGGTGGTGCAGTGGGTTAAAACACCACATTATGAAGCTCTCCGAAGCCGCTGCAGCACCAGTTCTGTCCCCGGCCAGGGAGATGACCCACATGGCACGCCAGACATCTCCTGACCTGCCCGCTGCTCCCCTCAGTAGTATATTTCAGTACATCTGCCTGTTCTGCTCCCCACTCTGTCTCTGGTGAATCCTCTCACCTACCACACCTCTGGTCTATACCCCAGTTCTGTGAGAATAAATAAATCTTCCAAAAAAAAAAAAAAAAAGAGGGCACAAGAGGATACCCATCTAACCTTGAGGTATGTGGCCATGAAAACTCTTTAACAGTAAAAACTACTGCACTGTTCTCTTCCCCTTGAACTTATATTTCCATTCTATAATATGCTTTAATGCATGAAGACTTTATTACTTGCTCTATTACATTTCTCTCTAACAAAAATGTGAATAAAGTGACATTTGAGTAATTTCCTGTGGCCCTAAGACTTCAACATGTTCAATTTTCTCCTGGAATTTAGCCATTCTTACTAATGTACACGTGGCCAGACATTAATATTATTTATAAGGAAGTTAATGTAGTTAATTTGGACATGGTAATTTTACTGGAAATAGAATTCTAAAGCAATGGATAGCATTTATTTTCCTCACTTACTTTATATATTCCTTCCTATTATAACAAGATAGGGTTGAAATTCCACACTTTTCCTCACGTTTATAGATTTCATCTGTAAGGAAAACTGTTTACATAAGGGAAAGGAGGAAACTTAGCAAAAACATCTTTTTGGCTATTGTCTTAATATTAGATTAGGCCCTCCTTCAATTCTGCTGCAAACCAAGAAATAAATGAACCTGGAAAAAGGTACATGTCCTGGTCATGATCATTATTCCCTTTCCCGCCCCAGGTAGGCTATTTCACAGCCCACCAGTTAGTGGGGATAGCACAGCACAGTGAGATTCCGGAGGGCAGGGTTAACAGCCACGCTTTCCCTTTGTCAATGGGAGAAAGGTGACTTCAAACAGTGAAATGCAAAGTCAATTGTAAGAAAGGAGAGCTCTAGAGATTGGGGACCACCCAGCTTCTGCACCTCCACCTCCGAACAGTCATCACACCCTCCATGTGCTGATACCCAGTGGTTCAGCTCACCTGTGGGCATGGAGGCGGCCAGCCTTTCTGCTCATTTAGAAGGTTGACAGACACAGAAGTACACTTGAGTTGATTAACTCAGGAATCCTCTTACAATGCACCAGCCTGAGCAGGTACTGCATGAAATGTAATGAATTTTTAAAAAAGAAACATAATTCTTGTTCAATCTACTTGAAAGGAGAGAAAATACCTCATAAATCATAGTGGCCTGACAACACAGGAACTATCTTCAACAAAGGAAGTGTATGCTAGAATTTTTAATAATCATGAAGAAAAACTGGAAACAATCCAAATATATAATGATATGAAAACTAAATAAGTTACGTGACAGCAGTCATATAGTAGAAGAATATGACAGACTTTAATTAGGAAGATAATAATAAATATATCCTGACACTAGAAAATGCTCTTCACAAGGTGACTAAAAAAGCAACCCAGAAATAAATTTATAAATACAATTCACATTAGTTTGTAAAAATGATGTATGTGTTGGAAAAGTCTCTGAAGAAAATTTATTCAGTTGTTTTCAGTGGTTATCCTTATGTGGTGTAATTATGAACAACTTTCCTATTTGTTCTTCCCAATTTTCCCACAAAGGACATGTATTTTCTCTGTGAGGGGGAAAAAAAGTTAGGAGAGGAGGTGAAACAGGTTCACTATCTCAGGACAGCTACATAGGACCTTGGTGGTGAGCTGGTGCCCAGCCAAAGGATCAGTGGGGGCTTAAATTCTCCCCAGTTGGTGTTAAGACCAAATCCTCCCTGAGGGGGTGCCACTTTCTAATCTGCAGCTGAATACAGTGTGCTCGGTTACCATCTCCCTCAGATTTAGGCACTTTACTCTGAGCAACTTCTCTGTTCATCCCTGATTGGCACCGCTGACTCCTTCACATCACTGCCTTTATTGCGCCACAGGCAGGTGAAGCTCAGCCAATCATCTTCCTTCAGTCTCACCTCAGGAAATGGCCCCCTTGATGGATGCAAAAAAAGCCGCTGGTTGGCAAGCAAAATGCTATAACCCAATGAAGTTATTTGGCCTTTCAGAAAAATGTGGTGGGCAATTTTAATTTCCAACTGTACTGCAGAACTGCAGCCTTCTTACCTCAGCAAGTGTGGAGGGATCTTGACAATGGTATCCACACCACCCAGGGTTTCTGCAAACAGAAAATTACAAAGTTAAAAAGTATGTAAGAGTGAGACTCAGCATTGCATACGGATGCCATTATTAGTTTCTTTTTTTTCCTGGAAATTCCTGTAGTTAAGCATTAGTTGACGTGTAGTTACACATACAAGCCATCCATATTTAAAAATCCGTCTCTCTTGACAGCCTCAGAGACTTCCTTGGGGAAGGATTAAAATCAGGATTCATTCTCATGGAATGAATAAATTCCAGCCCAAACCAGAATGTCAATTTCATCTAGTTAAAACTGGCTAAAATGCTACATTCTTGCAATAAAAATAGAGAGGAAAAAAAAATAGAGAGGAAGGTGATTTCCTTGAAAAGGCTGTTCCAATACCCTTAAATAATAATTTATACTTTCAAGCTTAAAATTACTTAATGTTGCATCACATTTATTCTTACACAATTATGACTTGATAGGTTAAACTTTTCTTAACCACACTATAGTTAGGAACACTGTTTGGGAGGCTTACCCCCAAATCTCCTGAATTCACCCTGGACATTCAGTACTAAGCTTATTATTGTTATGGACTAGTGACACTGCCGTTGCCTCCAATTTTAAAAGCTATGAAAAGCTATTCCCTCAGACAAACAAAAACACTGTTCTACTTCAAGAGTTCTAAGGATACTATACCCAATTCCAGTGTGTGTACATGTGGGAGGCGAGGAGGTGGGGGATGGAGGAAGATTTCCCCATACCAGCAAGCAATTCTCTGACACTAGAGTTGGTTCCCATAAATTAACTCTCCCAGTCTTACAATTTCCCTGAGGGCTCAGTGCCCACATGCCCTCACCAAGAGATACCAACCTTGAGTCCGGGTTGTTACCTGAACTTTTGATTCATGCACTACAGGTTGGCTACACCCATGAGTCCCAAATTGGGTTCAATTAATTTACTAGACTTGCTCCTAGAATTCTTGGGTACATTCTTTACTTACTAGACCCCCAATCTACTATCAAAGAAGATAACCCTGGAATGGCCAATGGAAGGATGTATGAGGAGGCAGAGTGGGGGTATAGGGTGAAGCAGTTCCAAGCTCTCCCTGAAAGCACAACCACACTCCCTGACTCTCCACATGCTCACCAACCCCAAGCCCCCTTCTTCTGGATTTTTTATGGAGGCTTCCTTGCATAGGCATGGCTGATGAAATCACTAGCCATTGGCAGTTAGTTGCTTCCTCCTCCCATCTCCCCTCCCCAGAGGTCAGAGAGACAGGATAGGAAATTCCGACCTCCAGTCACTTGGCTGGTTCTTCCAGCAACCAATGCCATCCACAGTGGCACACAAGTCACTCAGCAACATGGCAAAAGACTCTTCCTCCCTGTCATCACATGGGAGACTCCAGGATTTTAGGAAACAGAAACAGTGACAAAGACCACCTATATGTGTCTTCCTAATCTTGCTGTATCACAAGTTCAGAATTGACTCCACGTTTTCAGCTCACGTTATCTAGACATATTTCTGAAGTGCACAGACTCAGTAAGCCCGGCCAGTCTGAACTATTTTCATGGGGAAGAAGAAACATCTCTCCCCATTCTGCTAAGACATGAGAGGGTATAATGGATACCAAATGTATCGAGACCCTGGAGAGAGAAAAGGCCAAACTGGGATGACAGAATCTGGGGGACCCCAAGGCAAGATAATGAGTGTATGTATGTATGTAAGCCAGTCTACAAAGAGAAAGTCGGGACCGCTGGGGCCAGTGATGTGTGGCCCCGAGGAAGTCGAAGGACCGCGGGCAGCACTTCAGACGAGCCATGACAAAGGGAAAATGAAAACCTGAGATAGAGGTGCCAGTGGCTCCCCAAGAAAAGTTCTGACGCTGAACAACCAAGTCATCAGGGTTTTCTTCATTGGACAGAGGGGTATCCAACAGTGCTGAGCCTACAAAGGCTATAAAAAGGTAGAAGAAAGGGGGAAGGGAAAAGGGAGTCATGAGTAGCCTCACCGAAGCCCAGAGGATTGCAGGGGAGATGCTGTGCTGGTAGTGCTGGAGGCGGGAATGGTGGCTGTCGGAGTGCAGGTGCGGACTAAGGACTTAAGTGCGTGTGCCACGTTCTCAGAAACTGAAGTGCGTGTGCCACGTTCTCAGAAACTGAAGTGCAGCTGTGGGAGTGGATATTTCTGTGTTTGGCACAGGGTTGGGGGCAAGAGAAAAGGCTTACATTGGTGAACTCAAACTTTTAAACAGGCTAGAAGAGCTGGAGTTGGCAAAGGAGACAAGAGTTCAAGAGACGGTCCCTTCAGGACAGGGGAGGGCTTAATAAAGGCTTGCAAAAGAAGGGCAGGAAAGAAGGAACCCAGGGCTTACCCCGTCAAGTCAAATCTACTTCAAAGGTCCCACTAATACAGACCGACTCCCTTTCCCTTCCCCTTATCCTCCTATTCTTTGATCTATTTTCCTGGTTTACTTATGCCAACTTAGTGACTGCCCTATGCTGTTTGTTCACTATCACACACACACACACACACACACACCTCTCATCTTGCTAATTAGAGAATGGTCACCGGGAAACAAATCACATCTTACAATCAGACTGGACTCCAGACTCAATTCACCTGCCTCAGCTCTGGGCATTCGGGGTAGCTTAAAGGGCCTACATTCAGAGGCACTGCATTTTAACTGAACAAGGTATCAAAACCCAAACATTAAAAAATGAGATTACTCTTCTCCCTGTTATCTAAATCAGCTAAATTTAAAGAAAAACAATAATGAAACAAGGAATGGCATGTTTAGAGAGCAGTCAGACCCTGCTTTACTATGTTATCCAGCCATCTGGGACCCTTGCATAGAGGCATTTGGGAAGCTAGCTCTGAACCACCCTGGGAATAACAATGGCAAGGCAAAAACAGCTCTGTGGCTTTAAGAGTCTGCTCACTCATTTATCTGGTCCATTTTTCTTAAGAGAGAACTAAAATGGTCTTGTTCTGATTCTGCCCACAAGAGAAACTTCCTAGATGATATTCTAGACAATTCTGCGATGCTTAGGGTTAAAAAAAAAGATGGTGCTATGACTGGACATTCACCCAAGGCTCTGAAGTCAGACCTTCTCAATATTATCAAAACCACTAAACACTGTCAAGAATTCGACATTTCCTGGAGAGCTGGACCATGGCACCTGTCACCAAGCTCCACAGCTATCGCAATCGCTGTAGTTGAAGGAGCAAGGGATTCAATTTTATTGTTTTGATTGAGTGGAAACTAAAGAATTACATGCAGGCTTGGGCAAGGCCAGGGGCCCACTGGGTTGCCCCGTTTCTTCCTGGGCCTTTCCTTTTTAAAAACATCCCTATCACCCAAAAGTGAAAGCTGGTTCCCATCCAGACAATTTTGATTCCCCCAAATTTTGCCTAATTGGAATGTCTTTCTGTTTTCTCTGAGGTTGAGTTCTGCAACCTGAGTCTGAGGGGAAACACAAATTTGCTCCCTAGAACTTATTTCAAAACTGGCACAGCTCACAAATCTAAAATCCCAACTCTCTGAGGGCAGACCACACCACACTTGTAGAGACCACCCAACCCCCTCCCCCATATGTTATTTTTCATATAGAATCACCACGTAAGCTAACACTTAACAGATGGCGTCTATGAGGAAAAATCAATTAAATAAATCATTGCTTCCCGGTCACTCTCGCCCACGTTTGAGATCAGACCGGGTTTGCAGGCTCAACTTCCTTCTACCCCGAGGCATTTAGGAATCAGGCCCCCGGATGCGCACCGGTCTGCGCTTCCAACTCAGAGATGGGTGACCAAGGTCCACGGTGCTGGGGACCTGGAAACGGGGTCTCTCAGAGGGGTGGGCAGGCAGGCGACGCCGGTTAACGTTGTGGGGAGAAAAAGCCACCGAAGGGGAGGCGGACTGAATATGAACGCCCGAAGCAAGGTTCTCCCTCCCTACATCACTGCCCAGGGGCCAAGTCCAGCAATTGCGCGAAATGTATCCACAACCCGCGCTCAGCCAAACCCCCAGGCAGAGCGGCGGCTCCCGCTCGGGCCGCGCGGCCTCGCTCGAGGCGAGCGGAGCCCCGCAGGCGCCAGACCTGCCGGCAGGTGCCCCGCGCCCCCCTCGGCGCGCTTACCCAGGGCCCAGGTGCAGCTCTCCTTGATGGCTTTGTACTTGCTCCCGGACGCCTCCTTCTGCAGCTTCCTCAGGATCTCTTCCATCTTGACCTTCGCCGGGGCCGGCCGCCGCCCGAGAGCGGCGGGTGCGAGGCCAAGGGGACGCCGCTGCCTGGCCCTGCGCGCCTAGGCG